ATGCAGGAAGCATCAAAAGAAAATGGAAGGAATACACAGAGTCACTGTACCAAAAAGAATTGGTCGATGTTCAACCATTTCAGGAGGTAGCGTATGATCAAGAACCAATGGTACCGAAGGAAGAAGTCCAAGCTGCACTGAAGACATTGGCGAAAAACAAGGCTCCAGGAATTGACGGAACACCAACTGAGATGTTTCAACAAACAGCTGCAGCAATGAAGGCGCTCACTCATCTCTGCCAAGAAATTTGGAAGACAGTTAACCTGGCCAACCGACCGGAAGAGATCCATGTTTGTGCCCATTCCAGAGAAAGGTGATCCAACAGAATGCGGAAATTATCGAACAATATCATTAATATCTATCTTGGTTATCTAGTGCTGCCATAACTGAAATACCACAAGTGGATGGCTTCAACAAAGAGAAGTTTATTTTCTCACAGTCCAGCAGGCTAGCAGTCTGAACTCAGGGTGCTGGCTCCAGGGGAAGGCTCACTCTCTATCGGCTCTGGAGGAAGGTCTCCGCCATCAGTCCTCCCGTAGGCTGGGAGCATCTCAGCGCAGGAACCTCAGGACCAAAGGATGCACTTTGCTCCTGGCACTGCTTTTTTGGTGGTATGAGGTCCCCCTGTTGCTCGCTTCTCTCTTTTATATCTCAAAAGAGATTGGCTTAAGACACTGGTAGATGTTAATCTTAGCAATATAACTGCCCCAATCCATTTTATTACATCATAGTGATAGAATTTACAACACACAGGGAAATCACATCAGATGATAAAGTGGTAGACAATCAGACAATACTGGGAATCATGACCTAGCCAAGTTGACAGATATTTTGGGGGGACACAATTCAATCCATGACAATATCACACACAAGTAAAATTTTGCTGAAGATCATTCAAAAGTGGTTGCAGCCATACATAGGGAACTTCCAGAAATTCAAGCTGGGTTCAGAAGAGGATGTGGAATGAGGGGTATCATTGCTGATGTCAGATGGATCTTGGCTGAAAGCAGAGAATACCAGAAACATGTTTACCTGTGCTTTATTAACTATGCAAAGGCATTTGGGTGGATCATAACAAATTATGGATACCATTGTGAATAATAGGAATTCCAGAACAGTTAATTGTGCTCATGAGGAACCTGTACCTAGACGAAGAGGCAGTCGCTCAAACAGAACAAAGGGATACTGTGTGGTTTAAAGTCAGGAAAGGGGTGTGTCAGGGTTGTATCTTTTCACCATACTTATTCTGTATGCTGAGCAAATAATCTGAGAAGCTGGACTATATGAAGAAGAATGGGGCATCAGGATTGAAGGAAGACTCATTAACAGTTTGTGATATGCAGGTGACACAGACTTCCTTGCTGAAAGTAAAGAGGACTCGAAGCACTTACTGATGAAGATCAAAGACTACAGCCTTCTGTATGGATTACACCTCAACATAAAACAAATCCCCACAACTGGACCAATAAGCAACATCATGATAAACGGAGAAAAAATTGAAGTTGTTGAGGATTTCATTTTACTTGGATCCACGATCAGTGCCCATGGAAGCAGCAGTCAAGAAATCAAATGACGCATTGCACTGGGCAAATTTGCTGCAAAAGACCTCTTTAAAGTATTAAAAAGCAAAAATGTCACTTTAAGGACTAAGGTGCGCCTGACCCAAGCCATGATGTTTTCAATCACCTCATATGCATGTGAAAGCTGGACAGTGAATAAAAAGGACTGAAGAAGAATTGCTGCTGTTGAATTACCGTGTTGTCGAAGAATACTGAATATAGCATGGGCTGCCAGAAGAACAAACAAATCTGTCTTGGAAGTACAGCCAGAACACTCCTTAGAAGCAAGGATGGCGAGACTTCGTCTCACACACTTGGGACATGTTATCAGGAGGAATCAGTCCTTGGAGAAGGACATTATGCTTAGTAAAATAGAGGGTCAGCGAAAACGAGGAAAACCCTCAAGGAGATGGATTGACACAGTGGCTGCAACAATGGGCTCCAGCCTAACAATGATTGTGTGGATGGCGCAGGACAGCGCCTGTTTCGTTCTCTTGTATGTAGTGTCACTGAGTTGGAACCGACCTGGTCTAACAACAATAATAACACTGTTTGCCCCAACTGTTATCTCCCCCTTCAAGCATTTGTGAAAACATTTGACAAACTCCTCCCATAGAGAGAAGCCTTTAGCACTGGGCTAGTTCAAATGAGGTCGAATAAAAACGAGCCTTTCAATTGGGGTCTTCCAGGGGACCACTAGATAGGTCAAATAATCACTCTTCTTTGGGATAGTTCCAGTCCCATTCTACTCCCTCCAGTACCAGTTCTGGGAATTCGGGCAGTTATTTTTCAAGGCTGCCATGAGGTGGGGAGCGGGAGATGGGACTAGAATAAATTCAAATGCGCAAAGCTCGCTGTTTTACTGAGGCTCAGTCACTGTTCTTGACTAAATGCTCCCGGGGTTGCTGCAAGCTTTTGGTTAATTTCCTGAATTCTGAAAAAGTTGATTCTGACAATTTTTGCCACTTCTTTCTTTTGTCGTTGTTGCTTTTATGGAAGGGCAAATTTTCAGAGGCCCTGCTCCGTCACCTTGCTTCCATTACTCCTCATTTCTCTTAAAGCGGTATTTGTTGCAAAACAATGCTGCTGTTAGTTGCTGTTGAGTTAGATTCTGAGTCACGGCCACCCCATGTGTGCAGAGTAGAACTGCTCCAAAGGATTTTCATGACTGTGACCTTTAAGAAGCAGATCGCCAGGCCTGTCTTTCCAGGCGCCTCTGGGTGGCTTTGAACCACCAACCTGTCAGTTAGTAGTCAAGTGCTTAACTGTCTGCGCCACCCAGCGGCTCCCAAAATAACCTTAAAACCATTTAAATCAAGAAAAATTGCCCATCAGCCCATCCCTTAATTAAATCAATTCATTTTCATTCGTCTATGTTACTCTCTAGCGTTCAACCATATAGTATGTTTGCATTTTTGTAGTAATAATACAGGATTTTATACTCATTTTGACACCATTCCATAGATGTACAATAATTTTTTTGCCACAATCTTCCCACTTCTCATCTTCTCTTTTCCACTTTTCCTAGTACCCCCCACCACACACTCCCTACAACCCTGTTAATGAAAACAGCTTGATGGGTGCCTTTCCCCATGCTCATTCAGCCACATCCGGCCACATCCACACAATCAGGGTTTTCTTTTTGTTTGTGATTTGGACATTTCTGTACGGCTTTCTTCTTTCACTTAACAGAACATGGATGTCCCTCTAGTTCAGTAGATTTCGATTTAATGCATGCATGTTTTAGCTGTTTAACAGTGTGGACAAGGATCAGCCATGTATTCCCAATACCACCTCCTCTCCCATGAACACTTTAGTACATAACGTATTTGGTGTTCCTTTTACTTCTAGAAGATTCCCAGAAGAAACATGGCTGGGTCACAGGTCATGCACATTTTAAATTTTAATAGCTATTCCCGAATTTCTTTCCCAAGGGACTCTAAAAATCTACATTCCATCAGCAATGTGTGAATGCCCCTTGCCTCTGAACAACAGTCTAAATATTCACTATTTAGCAGAGGTGGAGAGAAACGGGTTTCTGTTTTAAAAGAGAGCCTTTTTAAAAAATAAGGCATTTACTGCCTGCACTGAAGCTCAAGTAACATTTAAAACCACTTTGTAATGTGGTAGGAGTGACTGATTCATCGTTTCTGAAGGGTGGGACCCACATCCGCTACCCCCGTTCCGTGAGCCGTCCAAGAAGCCCAGGTCTGCCTTCAGCCCCTTTTACAGGTGGGCGTCCCATCCGGCTCTGCCAACGGCGGGGCAGGCCGGCCGGGCACTCGCGGACAGCGCAGTTTTGAAACGCCAGCGCTGTTTGGGGACGACGTGGACTCCGGCCACGACGACGCGCAGGCACGTCCGGAACGCTCTCGGCGCCTGCACCTCTCATCACGGTGGAGCGCGGCCGCAGAAACGACTGTTACTCCTAACACGCCCGGGGGTCGCTTGTAGGCCCCGCGGAGGCGTCCGCGAGGCCGACAGCGCCCCGGGCCAGCGGGCACAGCTGGGGGCCCTGAGCACGGCCGATTGGGCGCAGCTGCGGCCCTGGGGCGGGGCGGTGGCCGCTGGGTTCGCTTTTCTCTTTTAGTTTCGATTCCCGCTCACGTCTCCACCCTGTGGGAGCGGCCGGCAGCCGGCAGCCGTCGAACGCACCGGCCTCCCTCAGTCGCAGCCTCCGCACTCGTCCGCGGCCTCCGGGGCCTCCACGCAACCCCGCCATGGCGCAGGCTGCGGCGCTCGGCGAGGCGACCCAGGTGCTGTGCGCGGCGGGCGGCGGCCTGGAGCTGGAGGAG